ATATTAAATAAAATTAAAGATGTTTTAAAAAAAAAATAAACAAAAAAAAAATTTTTTTTTAAATATTTTATTTCGTTTAATTTGATTGGTTGATCTGAATTTTATCAGGTTGGGTCATAAACTTAACCTGACTAGAGGTTGGAACCAGTTTGGTGTAAATTGATTTAAATTCAGTTTAAACCGGTTGCAACATAAAACCAGGTCTATTTTTATCAGATTTGAAAACTGGTTTTAATAAAATCAGTTTATTACGAAAATTCAAATTTAATAAAACTGATTGAACCAGTTTATGCATTAAAATCAAACCCTAAAATATGATATTTATGTTTTGTTAATATTTGATAATTATGCAACATTAAATATTATATAATTTCGATAATGACGTTATGGTAAGGTTTAAATTACTTTTATATTATAAAAGAAAATTAATTATTTGGATGATCCAATTTTCATGACTTTTTTTTTAAATTTCTCCATTATTTTATGTAAATTTGTAGAATTATACTTTTTTATGTTAGATCCTTACGAAATCATTCCTTCAAATTTTTATTTTTATTGTGTACTAACAATTTTTTCCTTCGAAGTTTTTGCATTTTTTTGTGAGAATTTTATGAAATTGCATTAATAAAATTAATCGCAATTCAGTTTTTCGGTTTTATTATAACCGAATGCCTGGTTGAATCGGTCTTATTTTAAATTCGGTTTAAATTCGGGTCTCAAATTAAAAAAGTGTTTAAACCTGCTTGTGAAAATAAAACCGGTTCCAACCTCTAGTCCTAAACGGTCCTAAAAGTCCCAATAAATTTGCCAGTTCTAAAGAAGATTTTTATTTTATTGGTATTATATTTTACTTTCTAATGATAATTTATTAATTGAATATTTATTAAAAATATCTTTTAACTTATGCGGGAATCCAGAATTTTTATTATAACAATTTTTTATCAAGAGTTACTCATTATAGATAAGCGATTAGACTTTTCTATAACTCGTAATTTCTAAATTTGTTCACAATCATTTGGAAACGTTAAAAAAATATATTATTGATTTAGCTACCAATTATTATTAATATATTGTAATTTTTATTACTAGTCAAAAGATTTTTTTTTTTAAAAAAATTAAAAATTTATCCTAAAATATCTACAATTAAAATATTTTATTTTATTTTTTTTTTTAAAAAAAAAAAGAAAAAAGAAAAAAACTAAATGTTTAAAAAAAAAATTAATTTTACAGAAAATGAAAATGATAATAAATTACCAAAAAAAAATAATGAATTAATAAATAAGATGATAATTAATCATTTTCTATTAAAAATATGATAATAAAAAAAAACTTTTTTTAATACTTTTTTTTTTTTTTTTTTAAAAAAAAAATGTGTATAAATTTTTTTTTCATTCATTGATATATAGTCAAGAATTTTTTCTTATTTTGTTTCCTTGCTTGATGTAGCTCTATGAGTTATATTTGCGTTATGTTTGTCATTCGACGATTGTCTTGTTGGTATTCCGGATTTCGGTAAATTCCTTGATTTCAAAGTCGAATATGTAGGAATCGACGATATCTTTGATGATGATCTCTCTTTATTTTTTTTAGATGCACGTGTATTCAGACCACCAGGTTTCCATGGTGGATTAATAAATGTCGGTGGATGATATACAATTCGTTTCTGACTATCATCTAACATTAAACTATTTTGCATTTCTTCGAGATCTTTACGTAAAACAACACTTTCGATCAAATCTTTGCGTTGATTAATTATCTTATTTTATCATAATAAAAAACGAATTTTAGTCAAATGTATAGATAGGTAAAATATTAATCATATCATTCATTATGCCTACTTGTAATCCGCTAAAAACTTTATTGATCATTGCTTCTCGTTTTTCGATTTGAGCCTGTAAACGTTTATGCTCTTCCATTATACCGGCAAACTAAATAAATAAATAATCAAAAATATGACTCATTTGATCATACTAAATCAGCAAAAAGTTGGAAATGATCATCATAACACCAACCTGATCTTGTAATTCCTTAAATCTTAGTCTCTCCGATTCAATAGATTTATTTTTTTCCTCTAATTGCTCGCAGAGTTGTTCATTAAGCATAGAAAATGTATGCTCCGCTTTTGCCGTTATAGTCTTATTTTCATTAGCCGCCTATTTATAATTAAAAAAACAGTAAAGACGAGATTTGAAAGTTTTTGAAAAAATATATCTTAATACTAAAATTTAAAAAATAACACTCTTGATACAATTTTGTCGCAATAATTGCAATACTGTTACAAAAACTGAAATTTGATCATGTACCTCCATAGAAGCTTTTTGAATAGTAATTAATTCTTGTAATTCATTATTTCTTCTGTTTAATGCTTGTATTTGTGTCTCAAAACCCCTGCAGATATAAAAGTAGTATAATTAATACGATAGCGGCATTTTTGTCAATTTATGCACGTCCACAAGTAATTCAATATTCCAATATTCCGAAGTCCTTTTTTTTTCCTTCGCATCTCCAAAAATTTAAAAAAAACTATACTTGATATTTTCAACTAATGATTCAACTTTTTCTTTGGCACTTTGCTTTTCGACTTTAAGCCTTTCTTCGGATTGATTTTCTCGGTATTCTAAATCTTTCAATCGTGCTGTCCATTTCCTTTCTTCTTCTTTAATCTTAGATTCCAGGATTCTTGCATGACGTTCAGTCTCTTTCAGTTTACTTTCGGCTTCTTCAGCACGAGCGTTAGAAGATTTAAGCTCATCAAGCTGTTCGCGCATGTCTGATAATTTATCCGTAAGCTCTTCATTTATATTCTTTAATAATTTTGAACAAAATGATTTAATATTAATATTTTATTTCCAATATATAAAAAAAATGTAAAAATACCTTTGCAGCCTCAAGTTCTCCTTGGTTTCTTTTAGCTTGATCTCTCCAATCTTTTTGAGCTACAGTAGCCTTCTGAACCATGCCTTCAAATTTATTTAATAAACGTAATTTTATATCCATCTGGTTCTTGAGAGACCTAAAAATAAAAATTTTTTTTTTAAATAAACATTCAAATGTATTAATCATATAGGAAATGAGCGATGTAACTATTACTAACTCATATTGTTCTTGCCAACGATTATCAATTTCTTTTATACGTCGATCAAAGGTGTTATATACATGACTGAGAGTCTTGAGCTTGGATAAAAGGTGCTCATGGAAAAGAGCAAAGTTGGCTGAAGGTTTTGGATAATTGGACTGAAATCCAAGAGATGACATTAGCAAAAAAAAAAAAAAAATCGAAAAGGTACTAGCAATATTTATACGAACTTGTTTGTTTGTGCCATCTGACATTATATTATCCAAATATTGGTAGGTAGTCATTAAAAGCGTGTTACGCTCAAGATATTGAGTTTCATTCGAATACGTGGCCTAAAAAAAAAAAAATTCTAATAAACTTCATTTAAATCAATGTAATACATTAGACGATTTTTTCATCCTTTACCTTTTTCTCTTGTGTAAGATTATTTTCCAAGTGAGCTACTTGAGCTTTTAACTCATCAATTGTGGAATTTTTATCTCGAACATCCTATTTAAAACATTTGATTAATCTTGTTAATAAGGATTTAAATTTTGAAACAATAAAGACTGAAATATTCATTTCATTTCGTATTTACCATTTGTAGATTTCTGAAAACTTCTTCAGCTTTAGCACGTGCATTTTCACTAGATGATAACTTTTCGTTCAACTTTGTTCGTTGATTATTCTAATGAAAACCAATCAATAAATTCGTTGTTAATATAAAAAGTTTCCATAAAAATTATATTAAAACATACGTACCAAATGTTTCATCTCATTTTCATATTCAACGATTTGGTTCTTCTGATTCTCTAATTTATCACCAAGGTTTTCAAGAAGAGTGCGCAAACGTTCGGATTCATGTCGACTTGTATCTAATTCCTAAAAAAAAAAAAATAATATATTATAGACCACACGTAAGTTTACATAGATAATATTTGAGTAATTAATTGGATAAATACGGTACCACTCTCAATCTTTCTTGTTCTCTCGCATAACGTTCAGCTGCCTCCTTTGTTCGACTTGTCTGATTACTTAATTGTTGATTAGCATATTGAATATCGGCATCGCGTTCTTGAATTGTCATATTTAAATCCGACATTTGTTGTTCTGCAGCGGACAATTTCTAAGAGATTAAAATTAGTATTTAGTTGAAAGAGAATTTTTTGAATATAATTTACGAGATAAATAATTACCTCGATTAGCTCATTTAATCTTTGATCATTAAGTTTCTCATTCTCTTTTTTATATTTGCGTGCTTTATCTATCTCTTTTTCATACAATTCTCTTTCCCTGTTTCTTTCAGCTGTTAATTCTTTCTCACGCGACTCGGTTGCATTACGCTGTTCAATCTCATAATCCAGGTCCTTCTTCATTTCTTCAATCTGTGTAGAATAATTTTCAACCTCTTGGCGAAGCAGGTCTAGTTGTTTATCGGTTGAATCTTTTACGGCTAACAATTCCGTTACTTTAACTTCATTCATGCTGAGTTTCTATTCAACGTTAAAAAAGATTTTAATTATCAGAAATAATATTTAAATTACAATGATCATGTTCATACCTCTTTCAAATCTGAAATTAATTCTACATGTATTTTCTCATCATGTTCAATGTTCTTGGTCTTAAGTTCCAATTCGATTCGTGTCTAAATAAAGAAATGGTAAGTTATTAAAATTACTTGCTAATATCCAAAATAGTAAAGTTTACCTTGTCAAGAGACTGCGTTAATTCGTCTATCTCACGTTTATGATTGTCCAACTGAAGTTTTAAATCAGCTATTGTCTCTTGAGTGTGAGACAAATCCTCTTTATGATCATGGTCCACAGCATTAAGTTCTGCTACTAATTGCTCATTATCTTGATGACATATATCTAATTCCTTTAATCAATAAGTAAAGATTATTTTAAATTAAACATTAAGACAATGCATCATAAAATGAAATGTGGTTTCTAGAAATATGACATACTTCTAAGAGTCTATCTATATATTCTTTCAATTCAGATTCCATTCGGTCCATATCCTCCTCAAGGTCTTGGTTTGCTACATTAGCAGTTTCTAACTCTATTATAAGGTGATCGACTTCCGTGGACTTGTTACGAAGTTGAAGTGTTAATTCGGCTACCTTATCTCGTAAAAGGCCAAGGTTCTATATATATATATTTTGAAAAATAATAATAATAAATTCTAGTTTCAACTATATAAAAAAAAAAATAAAAAAATAAAAAGAAAAACTAATCACCTCTTCATATTGATCGCTAAACTCTCCATTCATAATACGCGAAGAAATATCTCCACGCGAAGATGCTGAGCTCATAGGACGACTTCTAATCAATTCCAACTCGGCCTCGTTCTCATGTTTAAATGCTTTAAGGTTGGAGATTTGCTATAAAATTTTTGTAATAAAAACATTAAATATTTTCAAAAGAAAAAAAAATAGATTCTATCATAAATTCAGCCAAAAAAATTGTTCACGTACCACTTTCAACTGCTGTATTATTACACTATGTTTTTCTGCTTCTTCCCGTCTCGCTTTATCTGCAGTATCTTTAATCCTTTTCATCATTTCACGATTATCAACAATTTCCTCATCGCCATTTTGTAATCCCTCAAAATTTTTTATAGTGTCTTCCTGCAATCTTTTCAATTCCGTTAATTCAACATTCGTTCCTTGCATTTGTTTTTTAACATCAAGCAATTGACGTCTAAGTCCATTTGCTTCGTTTGAAATGTATTGTTTTTCCTCCCTTTCTTTTTGTAATAATTCTTTGTAATGTTGTAACTCTGAATTTTGCGTTGACTGTCTTGAATCGAATGAATCCATAGAATCAAAATCAGAACTACCATCTGGTTTTATTCTCTTTACAGTTTCGCGTAACCGTTTAATTGCTTCCTTTTGTTCAACAATTTTACGTTGAGCCTCATCTCTTTCCTTACGTAATTCATCAATAGTATCACGAGCTCTCTGTAATTCCAGTTCGGCTTCTTCTGATGGTGAAGTTCCATTTTGTAATGTAGTACCGGATTGATGAAGCATTTGGATCGCTTTCTCAGCATCCAATAGTAATTTATTCCTTTCTTTCAAAGTAACATTCAATTCATGATTTTGCATTTTAATTTCCACATTCTGATACAAACATTAAAAGGTAAAATAAATGAATATATATCATTTTTGGGGGGAATGTTATCCGAATCAATTCCCACCTCTTTTAAAGCTCTTTCCATTTCATCAGGACCCATCTTACTAACACGTTCTTCCAAAAAATAAACTTTCATTTTTAAACTAAAGTTTTCCTTTTTGATTTCGTCAATCACCTTCAAATTAAAAAAAGGGAAAAGAGAAGGTCTTTTAGAATAAATGAAATTATAAAATTTATTTAAAGTTCAATCAATTGTTTGTATACGGTAAATACCCTTTCTTGCTCTTTTAATGTCATTTGAGTATTTCTTGAGGGTGCATTAGGAGGCCACCGTGGATTATTACGCCTGTTCCTAACGGATTTCGTATCAGTTGCATCAGGAATTTTCCTTCCATTTGTAGCTTCCTCATTGTTCAACAACCGGGATACATTAAAAGCGAATTTATTATCGTCCACAGGGTTCAATTCTCTCGTACTATTTCCATTGTCTTTGGTAGAATTTTGAAATGAAGAGGTAGGCTGTGTGGATTTATCCTGAAAAAAAGACGAAACATTCTTTTCCAAGTTGTCCAAGCCTTTCGCGAAATTGGCATCGACAGAGCCGAAGCTCAAATCGGCATCATCGAAATCGAAACTTCCGTCAACTACTGGAGACAAAGAATCTGTCATGCAAACTTATTTCAGACGTTAAAAAAGAAGAAAAAAAAAGAAAAAATATATATATATATATATTATATAAATAGATATGTGGTTTTATTAATTACGATCGTTAAGAATTTTTTTTTTGTTTTTTTTTTGTAGATGGGTTCGTTTAATGTAACTAATAAAGTGGTGATTATGTTTATATGTCTGATCACGGGGCGGAATTATCACTTGTTTAGAAGTCACCATAAAAGTTTCAAGACCACGTGTTAGGATCTCCAAATAACTAATTTATACCGAAATTCCGAGATTTTTTTTTTTTAAATTGATTGGTAAATCGACTGCATGTAGTGGAACAAATTACAAACATGGAAAATTCTCAAGGCGAATTTCTTTTTGCGTTGTTTTCGTTTTTCTTTTTGAATGAATGACATAAAGACAGATTCATTAGGATTCTTTGTAGAAACTTTTCAATGGTTCTACCATTTTTTTCTTTCCCTTATTTTTTTCTTATTATTTTTAATACACCACCCGTGTGAAACTCATTATCGTATGTTTTCTTGGTAAGTTTCGGAAAAAGACCTTTACTTTATTATCTTTATTAAAAACAAACGAAGTTCACTGCATATTTTTTTTGGGGGGGGGGGGGGGGGGGGGGGGGGTTATGTTTTAAAATTGGTAAACGAAAATTTAAAAGATTTTTACATTAATTTTATGTATTTATTTAAAACAAAAAAAAAAAAAAAAAAAAAAAAA